ACATTCACCTTCAAAGCGCGTAATTACCACCCACACCTCCCCCTCTCCCCTCCCTCCAAAGTTCAAAATGACCCCTTGGGGATAATTACAACCACGTTCAAAACCCCTGGATTAATATATATCAAATCTATGTTTTTTGGATAAAATGCACCTCTAAATCTAGAAAATTCTTATCCAATTTCCCATTGATATTGCAAAACAGTTTATGCTTGCTACATTTTGTTATTATTTCTTTAATCCTTAATTGTCTATTGTGTGAATGAGACTAACTACACCTTTCTTTCCGATCGTCTCCTAGGTACATTGGACAGAATTTAATGAAATTTTTACTCCTATTATTCCTATAGTGGTTGAACATACAGGTTCATTATTATTAATTATAAAAAGATGTTTTGCCCCAAGAAATAGCTTAATCAGCATTTTGTTCTTTTGGTGTTTATTTATTATTAAAATTACTCTGAGCAGTTTAGATATCTGTATCTTTAGGCTCTTGTTTACTGATAAGAAATCCATTAGGGTCAGATGGCATCTCCTGAAGGAGAATAGGTACGAATCTCAGAAAACCTTTTTATGAAAAGAAAAAAAAGAGGTTTCTAATGAGTAAAATAAGCGATTTTAGAACAGTCGACACTGTGGCGTTTCTAGGAAACATAAGGTGAATGGGCCTAGCAGCGGCCACAAAATTTTCCATCGGGCCACAGGCAATATTTTCACTATGTATAATGATACATTGAAAGCGAGGTGGACCAGCCTCTTATATGGTGAGGGGGTGGGGTAGGGCCCACTGTGGGCACTATGTCAGTCAATTTTATAGGGTCGGTTGCTTAGATTATGTGTATCTTTGATACACGAAAACGGACTTACAGCAGTTTGAACGGTTAATCTGATCGAATATTGTACGCTGTTGTTTGTGAAAGATATCGATACAATAAAATAATTTAATCAGTACTCAAGTACTAACTCTTAATCAAAATTCAAGTCAAATGTCTCTGGCAAAGATGGCGGAATATACAAAAGGGGGATCAATAGACACATCAATATTCGTGGGGAGGTTGCCTTAAAGAGATTGTAAAGAGGTTTTCTAAAAAATGTATGTGTATCGGGGGACACTCATAGCCTCTATTTTCACCATTCTAACTTTCAATCAGATGTCTATGGTTCCTGCAATTCCACTAAAACTAAGTGTTTGATTGCAGAGCCTGAAATGATACAAGAATATTTGGTGATTTACAATTCCTTTAACGAATGTGCTATCATTCACTAGGCACTATCTGTCCGTTGAATAAAAAATAATGAATTGATATAATCACGAATAACTTCCCACATATCGCACTTTTATTCCATAAAATTGTCTCGTTTATCACCAGCAAGAGATAATAAGCTTAAATGTTAATATGCAGTCATCTCTCAAGTAGTTAATAATGTAAATGAATTAATCCATGACCTTCTGATACTAAGCATGTAGAAATGTGGTCATGAATGCATTGCGACGCTTCGCCAATATCTGGTTAAAACGTAGAAATATTAATAAACTAAAATAGTTTTATAAGAAACACAAATCTGAATCCACCTGGTAACTTCAAGATATATAAAACTACAGAATATTCCATTTTACTTTCAACTCTATGGAAAGAATGGCATTGTTTTGCCTTTTCTTCTGTTCCCAATTGTCCAGTGACATGAACAATTCTAATTTTCGTTAATTTTCATTCAATATAGTTTTACACCCCGTTGTTACTAACTGAAATAATTAGTTCATTTTTCAGTTTTTCATTTATAACACATTTATAAAAGTTCACACAATTCTTAGAATGAAACGATTGAAACTTAGATATTTAACATGGTGAACTCTTGGGGAAAAGCTCACCGTCTGATCATTGGCCTACCTTTGTCTCATAAACGGGATTTTTTTTTAGCTAAGTTTATCGGGAATAGCGTTCACAGCTCAACGTCGAAATACGAGCCTTCAAATCCACGTGTGTCCAGAACTATCCTCGTATGTAAGTTTGTAATTCCCCGAAAGTGGCGAACATTGCCTTCTAGGTAAGCAAAGTTGAGTATCGAGCAAACCCAGTTGGGCAGTGAACTCGAATATTGTATAGAGTTATTCATAATAGAACATACAATGTATAATTATTGAATTTGCAGACGACATATTTCTCACCTCCTTAATCAACTTGACACGTCTGCTCTTAGACTAAAACTTTTGGCGGCAAACTAATGGACAGGGGTTAAAAGGAAAACATTATTTTCTTATCGGTTTTAGTTATTAAATGAAAATTTTATACAAATGTCAATTGGTTCTTAGACCGATCTTTGAAAAATTGGTTCTCGGTTTTTGGAAAATTCCATTATTGAATTCTTTGTAATTCCCTTGGTTCTTCTATAGTGGAATATAAAGAGATTCTCTCTGCTGATATTTGCAAGTGTAAAGTTGTACTCTCAGAATTTAAGGGTATGGATATATTTTATGCTTCAACCACTGAACGACTTTTACATGTTTGTAGTGTACATCGATTGCGATTCAGCTGTAAACATTTGGATCGGTTGGGAGACTTCCTGTTCAATCACACTCTATTTGATAGTGGAAAATTTTGCAAGAGTTCTCGAATTAAAACGAAACAGCATGACTGCATGATGAAGAATGCGACATATGCCATATTGACAAAATCAGGATAAAAAAAATATAATTATAATAATTTGAAATGACAAGACATAAAATTCAACATATTGGCAAATCATCTGATTTAATACAGAAACTTGATACACCTAATGATGTTATTTTGCTATCTTTTTTCTACCGACTAAGATTGTCACTTTGGCATCCCTTAAGGCGAATCGACACTGCTATATGCTTTATACTACATGCTATAGTCGTTTAAACGTAGTGCTCACATAATCCCAAATTCGCAAAAATGCACCAGACCGACCAACAAAATGATCGAGACCAAAATAATGCTTAATAGAATAGGGGTACAAGACGTTCCTGCGGTCAACAATAAAGTAGTAGCCTTTCGCGAACAAATACCACTTCGTTTACATTTGTGCCTAGTGCGCCATCGTAGACATTCTCTCTTTTGCTTATCTTCACATTGTCCCTATTTTATTAACTTGATAGAACGTCAAGAGCCTATGTCAAGACCTTCCTCTAAATCCATCAATAATTGTAAATTTGTAGAGAAATCGTCCGAAATAACAAGTTGAGGATATTTCTATTTCTATGGGATTATCACACAAAATGAAATCACTCACTTGCTCAACAACACTGTCTTGTGAATTTAGGAAACTTTGTTGCTTGGGGAATCTCCCTTTCCCAACATTTCATTTAAACGAAATACATTATATTACATTGTAGTACATTATAGTACATTATAGTGCACTGTAGTACACTATAGTACACAATAGTACACTGTCTCCCCCCCCCCCCCACTTTACATGATGTTTCCCTTGTGTATCTCAAGATCAACCATATTATATGGAAATTAATAGAAACACTTTCTCCCACTTACGCAACTATGTCGTGTGCATTTATGAGTCGTAAGGACACTTCAAAAACATCATTGTCCTTCTATTGCGAAATGAACCTTTTAAAGATCAATGCCATGGCGTGGATTGAGTTAGCCTATAAAATCAATCAAGTTCTGTTATTCGGTACAGGCATGTAAAAAAATAGAATATGTCAACACTGTGATCTTCATCAGGTTGAAGATGAACATCACTTCCTAATTATATGCCATAAATACAGTCAGCCCCGAGAGAAATATTAAACACTCGTTTGTTCTCATTATACAAATTTCTTTCTCCATTACCCCTCTGTAAGTCAATTTAACGATTGTTAATGGAAGATTTAAAGATTTGTAATCTGCAGTAAATAATATTGCCTTTGGTTTGGCCCCAGCATACGCTGTGTGTTAACCTTTAAAATACTTACTTTGGTACATTTTTGTCTGGGGTTGGGGGCCCGTAAACTTGGTTCAACCAGTCATTACGTTAATAAGCATCTGATGCTTGTTTTGTATTTCCCAATTAGTCGCCCAAATGGGAAAGAAAATAAGACCCAATGAGAGGTTGCTCGAGTCAGTAGACCTAACGGGAAAATATTAGCTCTAATGGGAATTAGTCTTATTGAGAATGAGCCTATACGACAGTATTATTGATACAAAGTTATAAACGTAAATTGGCAATAATTGGTTTTGTAAATAAAAACAAGGAAGTTAATATTGCTTTAACTCTTCAAGGCTTCTCCCAATTTATCCAGATTTAAGAGTTTCAATTTCTCGTTCACAAATGGTAGGCTGCTTTAAATCTCATCAAATTATTTTTTTTTTAAATTTTCCTCGGGTTAATCTATGCCATAATGCCATGATGACGCACAAAAATTACGTCAGCATTTAAAAATAGCAAAAGTTTCATATCGGTGGATAACCAGGCCAATACAAAGTTATAAGGTGAAATAAAGTTACCCATAAAGTAGACGTTAAGCCAAACCAAGACGATATTGATATGGATAATAATATATTTATAAATCTTCACTTATTTTCTAAAGATAAAATTGTCCCAAGTCTTTTTTCCCCAAATCAATAATTCAAAATCTGTAGTCCAAATACTAGAGCTGGTCAGAGTTGTTACCTTTCTTCTACCGACTAAGATGGTCACTTTCACATTTCGTTAGAAGATTTCACAATGCTTATGATATTATTTTGTGATCTTTTTCTACCAACCAAGTTTGTCACTCTGACATACCTTTAGGGGCGTCCACACGGCTAATGATGTTATTCAGTATTTTTATATGAATTGCAGTGTTTCTTGAAACTAGCCTCTAGCCAATTGTATCGATGAATTGAACGTTTTTCACCTTGTAATAAAGACTTTTTACTTCACTATTATTTTATCGGAAGGAAAGTTAAGGAAATAGGAAGTAATAAAAGCTTCTTAATAAAGATTAAAAAATTCTATAGCATGACAACCTTCAGAGTAAACACTACACATTATTATTTTTCTTAAAGGGATATTGTCGACTGAATATTTATTAACTGAAAGAGCTTAATTCTTTCTCTATTGCTGTCATGGTGCATAATTATTTCTCTATAGTCGTTGCTGTCATGGGACCTAATTCTGTCCCTATTGTCGTTGCTGTCATGGGACCTAATTCTGTATCTATTGTCGTTGCTGTCATGGGACCTAATTCTGTATCTATTGTCGTTGCTGTCATGGGACCTAATTCTGTCTCTATCGACATTGCTGTCATGGGGCCTTATTCTGTCTCTATGGTCGTTGCTGTCATGGGGCCTAATTCTATCTCTATGGTCGTTGCTGTCATGGGGCCTAATTCTGTCTCTATGGACATTGCTGTCATGGGGCCTTATTCTGTCTCTATGGTCGTTGCTGTCATGGGGCCTAATTCTATCTCTATGGTCGTTGCTGTCATGGGGCCTAATTCTGTCTCTATGGTCGTTGCTGTCATGGGGCCTAATTCTGTCTCTATGGTCGTTGCTGTCATTTGGCCTAATTCTGTCTCTATGGTCGTTGCTGCCATGGGGCCTAATTCTATCTCTATGGTCGTTGCTGTCATGGGGCCTAATTATATCTCTATGGTCGTTGCTATCATGGGACCTAATTCTGTCTCTATGGTCGTTGCTGTCATGGGACCTAATTCTGTCTCTATGGTCGTTGCTATATTGATAACATTACTATATGATATAGTCTGCATATTTATTTTATTAGTTTATAGTACTTGTTTAAGGATATACTCGTGTAGATATTTTTCGGTAATGGAGCTCCGTTCTGGCTATATTCTGACCGTCAGAACGACATTCACCATAACCTTGATACTTCAACTATTGTCACCTCCAAACGGGTGTTTTTATTTTCGAATTTTTCAAGCGAATTTGGCCTTTTATTGTCATTCTTGAAAGTAAACATAAGTGATAAATATATACATTCTTCATAAGGGGATGAAACCCACAAAATTAATCCACTAGTTATTATAAAAAGATGGTATATTCATCGACTGGAAAAGTTAATATTTAGTTGAATATTCCTTTAAGTTGATTTGTTTATAAGATTGTAAGCTTCAAGCAGCTGAAAGACCCATGAGCACCTGCTACCAAAATGACAATGGACATTTATGACAGTAGTTGACAGCGTTCAATTTTATCATCAATAAATAATGATATTATATACGTGTTTTGCGAATCGTATTTGAAATCTGGTTTCTTTCCTTTAATTACAATATATCAAAACCATATAGAAATTGTTATTAATGAAAGTATACAGGTCTATTAAGAGAATTGGCAAGAGCTTATAACAGGCGATTCTCATTGTGGACAAAACTTCATTCCGAAGAAAACTGGCTTGGACCTTGAACGTACATGAACAAAGCAAACAAACTCACTAAGCAGGAGCTTGAGAGACAGGTTTGTACCCAAACGTGATTGTTTGGAAGGGCAAGTAATATATCCAGAGGGGCAATGGGGGTATGGTGTTTTGTTGCAGTAATGACATTGGTAGGTTGTCAGAATTTTTAAAGAGAATCAATCTATTTTTTTTGGGTTGGGGGATGGTCCCCTATAGCTACAGGCCTGGCTAAAGACCTTCATAGTTCATATCCTATAGACAAAACAAGGGGTGAAAGACGACACCGGGCCGACTCTCGGAAGCACAGGCATAAGAATTTTTCTAACTTACCTGGTGTGATAAAGTAACAACAGAATCCCTGTAAAATCTGGAAAATTGGAAAATTCATAAAACTTAAAAATTAATCTTAATATTAAGCGTTTTTAAATAACTAATTGCATATTTATGGATAATTATTAAGTTTTTTGGATTTATCGGATTATATAAGGATCCTGTTATCATATTTATGACACCAGGTATATCTTAAAATTCTTAAATTTTATGTTCATTCTTAGACGTAGTATTCCTTTAATGATACAGAGGATTTCTGGCCAGTAATTAAAGTAATGAAGACTGGGATTAAATTTTTAATGAAGGATCAAATCAGAGTGGCTAATCATTGAACACTAATTAGAAATCACACCCTTTCTAATTAATTTGCCTAATTATGAAAACTCAGGAAATAATTTACTTTCTTAATTTTGCAACCACAAAATCAGATTTCATTAACATTTAGCATCCTTTCTCAAACCTTTAATCAAGGGATTGTAAAAAGGTTTTCTAATACACATAAAATATCAATCCTTGGAAGATATTAAGAAGTATCAGAGCACATTAAGAAATAAAAGTTTAATGGATATAGACTTCTATTTAATATTTAAACACAATGTTTAATTACACATACAGGTAACATCAATTATCACTTGAGAACGTTACCTGTATGTGTAATGAAACGTCGCGTTTAAATAATAATAATAGAATTCTATACCCATAAAACGGTTGTTTCTTCACATAAAATATTTCAAAAATATTTAAGTATGACTGATATAATTCTAACAAAACATAAATAATGTCACTGTCTGAATTAGTCCATGACCTTTGTCCGCAACTTTTCGGAAATAATGCTAATACATTTAAGGTGAATGAATAAAGGAGGGGACGAATGGTTATATTTTACACGATACTAAAATAGAAAGTAAACGTAAAGAGCAATATCGCCAGCAGCCATCAAATAAAAAACCTGAGAAAATAGAAACACACTTACTATTTCACAACATGCGACTGAAATCCTTATTGAATGCCTCCAGACATTGACCCGCTCTCAAGCTGGTTAGGATCTTTTATTTCGTAAGAATTCCAATCAACCCAGGAGGCAAGCAGTTATAACATCTAATAGTAATAACCCATTGGCTTTCAGCAAACCAGAAATCTGTGCTCCTGTCTGGTTTCATTGGCTTCACTTTTTTTTTTTTACATGCAACGACTAAGTGAACAGAGCGGTTCATTAAACTACTTTCAGCTTTGTATATTGAACTAACATATGATGCATGACAATATTTATTTGTGGTTATGAAAGGATGTTATGATGCGTTTTAAAAAACACCGCGGCCATCGTGTCCAGATTACGACAATATTTTTCTGAAAGTGATGATTTGTAATAAATAGGATGGGATATAGTGCAGACAGGTTTTGCTTATCTTTAGATTTCTATGTATCTGGTAGCATTTTTGATAAATATTCCATTCATTATAGTATGGCAGAATATCATTTTCATAGTACACAACGTTTCTACAATTTACATGGTATACGGTACTGAAAATTTTCATTATAGACATATATTGCAGGCCTGTTTTAACTCATTTGGAATTAATGACAGATATCCATGTCAAACAGCTTATCGTTTCGAGTACGGTTCAATCGTTCCTATAAAAATTTAGATTAAAATTTTAATTCTGAAGTCCAGAAGACATCACTTCTCTGCTGATTCTGTTTGTTAAAATCTATGAACATTTTCTATTTGACGTTGATCGATCTTTAAATAGTGTGTTTTTTGGCCAGAAACTGATTAGAGTTTTATATATTCTTAACCTTGGGAATAAATAACTTTTACCATTCTGAATTATTTCTTTAAGCAAACAAATTTGTCCGTGATTCGACAATAAATTGGATAATTAGTTTTTCGATTGTCTTTGAACATAAAGTCAGCGAATAATGGGTGCAGTGTAGAGCAAATCAGGATAATTGGATAGAATAAACCATCTTTTCCATTACACCAGTGGAATCAGTTTTAAATGGAACCCATAGATATTTATGATAGAACCGGATAATCAACAGAAGATCAAGTGGTTTGTCCAACAATCAGGTATACACAGGATCACGAATATGTAAATACACTTGTCAGTTAATCTAACAGTTAACAGTGTCTCAACTACCTAAGGGACTGGTTGAACCAAGTTTACCTAGGGGGGCTCCCACCAACAGAAAACAAATACAAAATACAAATGTACCAAAGTATCTTAAAGGTTACCAAACAATATAAAATGGTTCACAACTTATGCTGAACTATGGACATGAAATTGATTAACAGAAGGGTCTCATAATACAGGAGAGCATAAATAAACCCGGGAGGATTGACCCCAACCCACTTCAGTCAATAGGTCCAACTCATCAAGAAGAGTCAGTGCTTGTAAAACGAGAAATCGCAAAGATTTGTGTAAAATATAGTGTTGTTCCTAGGTCTTTCACCTTACTATGTGTGCAAGTCCATTGGATCCTCAATATGACTATCAGCTAGTATATAAGCATATTGCAGATATTTGTCCCGATATAAATCGAGTATGCAGCGATACTGGGCACAGGGAAAAGAGGGGCCAGCTTGTTGATAAAAATAATCTCGACAATATGTGTAAAACCCACCGCTGTTTCTCCCTTCTTTCACCTTATTATATTACGTGAGTCGACGGGATCATCAACAAGACTTACAGCTAATATGACCCTAATAAGGTGATGACATACATATAAAGAGTTCCCCCAAGGTGTTTCTTACACAATGTTTTATATACGTTAATAAAGATTAGAGTCTACAGTAGACTAATAATCGTATCGCACATTCTTTAGGGAATTTTTCTGTCTAGCTAATCCAAAAGCAATAATGGCATTTGAATATTTTTCAGAAATTTAGATGATCCCAGCCCAGGATAAATATGTAAGAGTAACAACACCAATAAGCCAGGAAGGCGTTATAATTTGTTAGTATTTATATGTTTAACTTCTTCGTAAGCACACGATCAGGTAAACCAATTGTCTCTGAAGGTCATTTTGCTGTTTAATGCAGTAAAGGTTAAGGCTATTTCTTAGTACAAAACGAATAAGAACATACAACAGACAGGGGCGAAGCAGTTTACATTCACACGTCTAACACTTTTCAACATATTCAGACATACCATTACATACTTAAGGTTATCACTATCTTGATAGATGTAGTGGAATGGTCAAGGTTACGACTGGTTTGAGAAAGAGTAAAGAGTCAAATCAGAGCATACGATTGTCGGAAACCTCAGTAAGTTGGTATTTATATATTTGCCATAGCCTACCTTTCAGGTCTTAACCTTAAGCTTGATGCTTATTCTTAGTAAATGTTATGACACTTAGGCCCACAGGTTGTAGTGTATATGATTAATAGATAAAGGGCATTGAATCATAGAAAAGTGAATTGAAAAGTTCAGTTGTCTTCAAGTCGACCTTCGGATTGGCAGAATCTGAGAACAACGACTGTGGGCATGTTAATCTCAGATCCGTTGTCCTGAGCGGTCAGCCATCCAGTTGATCGTAGTTGCCGATTCTAGTTGCCCGTTTTGCCGACTCGATCCGACTTTTGCAGCTGACTGTTTCGTTCGAAACCTGTGAGCATGTATAGGGTTAAAATAAAAGCTAGACGCTTGCTGTGATTTGGAGTTTTTATTTTGGGTTAGGAGCCTTGTAAATATCAGTTAAATCAGGAACAATAAACAATGTATGTTTTTACAAATTTATTTCCTAAAATAATATAAATATCGTTCTGAAAAACCTTCATAGATATTGTTTTTCTTCTGTCGCTTGACGACCATATCGCTTGTAATTGGATTAGCTGTGGTCAAGTTTCAGACTTGCACAATATTATCTCAAAGCAATTGATAATGTTGATGAAATATATGTATTGCTTTCGTCTGTGCCCTCGAGTCCCCGGGTACGGTTGAATACT